TTTTTGAGATGGAGTCTTGCTCTATTGCCCAGGCTGAAGTGCAATGGCATGATCTCAGCTCACTGCAACCTCTGCCTCCAGGGTTCAAGCAATTCTCCTGCCTCAGCCTCCCGAGTAGGTGAGATTACAGGTGCCTGCCACCACACCTGGCTAATTTTTGTATTTTTAGTAGAGATGAGGTTTCACCATGTTGGCCAGGCTGGTCTCGAACTCCTGACCTTGTGATCCACCTGCCTTGACCTCTCAGAGTGTTGGGATTACAGGCGTGAGCCACCGTGCCTGGGTGCAGTACCCGTTAACCCTCACAAATAATCTTTTGAGCTAGATATTATTGCCTGCTTTGCAAATGAGGGCAGTGAGCTACGTCCTGAACCACTGTACAACACTGCCTTGGAGGGGTCACAGCACATCAATAGCACAACTACTTCTAGAATCCAGGCCTCCTTCATCCGGGGAAAGCCATATTTTGGTGTTGAACAGCATCCTGGGCAATATCCCCCTTTTTTGCTGGATTTTGTCTATTGATACTCAAATCTGTTCCTGCCCTTCTGGGTCCTCCTCTCTGTGGCAGGAGCAAGAAGCCTGGAAATGATATGTCCTGGTTGTCCTTGCCAGCTGTTTTCTTGGTAAGTTCCACTAATGGGAGATACTGGTGGGAGATTCGAAGGCCAAGAAATCATGCGATTTCTGCCTCCAGAAGTGGTAGTTTCAGGCTACAGTCAACTGTCGGTCTGAGCAATTTTGGTGCCTCTGGAGGTGGCAGGAGTAGGAGCTAGTGACTCCAGCAGTCACCAGTTGCTCAGCACTAAATATGAGCTTGTGCGTACAGTGCAGGTGTTATGGCAGCTCTGATGACTGAGGTCTTCTTTATCTTCTTAGCCCTTATAACAAATTCTTTCTCTTCTGGAAATATCTAGACTGGACTACTTCAAGGCAACCTTATGCTGTCCCCAGAAGACTCTTCCTACTCATCATCTCATTTGGACGACATTGTTCTCCATTGTCTATGAATGAAGACTAATCCTAAGGCATTTGGTGTCCTCCCACTTACTGGATTTGTTATAGATTTTCCAAATTTTTATATTTCTCTATTTCCCTTCATGTTTCTAATACTTTCTTTTCCCTGAACTTTGTGAGAAAATGATCACCTTCTACTTTGTTTCATGGTTTCTTTTACAAGGGATGCCCTATACAAAATTCAACCATAATTTTTCAAAAGAAACTTTATTAATTCTGAAATAGAAATCTAGGCAAACAACATGAATCGGCACTTAATAAAATTCCAAGGAACATATTGAAAAAACATTTACCCTCATTGGCGTTCAAAGAAAAATAATACTCTCATTTCCATGTAATATTAAGATTAAAAAGAGTAAGGGGCAACTAAGATTGTAAAGGGAACTAAGGTTGCTAATCAGCAAACTCTGAGATGGGGAAAGTAGCCTTGATTGTCCAGGTGGGCCCAATGCAATGACAGAGTTCTTATAACTGAAAGGCAGAGGCAGGAGAGTCGATATCAAAGTCAGAGAAAGATTTGAAGATGCTACGCTGCTGGCTTTGAAGATAGAAGAAGGGGACCATGAACAAAGGAATGCAGATGGTCTCTGGAAACTAGAAAAGACAAAGAAATAGATTCTCCTTTAGAGACTCCAGAAAGAATGCAGCCCTGTTTATATCTTATTTTCACTGAGACTCATTTCGAACTTCTGACCTCCAAAATGGTAAAACAATATATTGGTTTTCAGTATTGTTTAATTTTAAATTTACTTTACTTAAAACAATACTTTTGTATTGTTTTAAGCCTCTAAATTTGTGGTAATTTGTAACAGCAGCCACAGGAAACTAAAAATAATTGACTTATAAAAAAAGCATTCTCAGCCTTCACTACTTACAGATGGTGTTCACTTGGCCGAAATCCATGTCCTTTTCTCATGTATTTTTATTTTGGTAACACAAACAGATACATTTATCTTCCAGTCAGTATTGTTAAAAAGGACTTTTGCTGAGCAGCCAGAATGACGCTGAGAATCTTCCAGTCCTCTGCTGATATAAGATTTTTAGTTATCATAAGCATATTTGTTTCTGTTTACCCCCTGCTGCTTTTAGAGCCAGGGAAAGAACCCAGCTGTTCCTTGGAGTTTGGCCCCTAACTAGCACAGGAATTAATATGTTCATGTGTTCTGGCAGGTTTGCGGTCTCTGCATGTGAGGTCTATATGATATTTGATGATAACATTGTTCTCAGAGCATCTTTGCATAAATCTAGTACCTCTAGGCAAAGCGTAAACTCCTGGGGCCTAGGCTCTGAGTTAGATCAAGCCAAGGTTCCATTCTTGGCAGTTGGGCCCAACATCTCACATATAGAAAGTGGTTGTATGTTTCGGTGCTTTGTGCATGTTGTCATTCATCATCAAGCTTTTTGCCTATGGTCACAGATGGCTGCTGCAGCCCCAGACATCCGCACCCTACCCTTGTGCAAAGGCAGGGAGAAGTGGAAAGGAGCCACATGTGGAAGCCCTTCTTCCTTTTCCTCAAGGAAGAAAATTTGCTCAGAGTCCCATACACTTCCTTTTATGTCTCAACAGCTAGAGCTGGATCCCAAGGCCACGCATGAAAAAGCGGTTAGGACAGTGATAATCTGGACTTCTAGCCTCCCTGGGAGGCAGCAGGAAAGAAGAGTGTTCAGAAGAGCTGGAGGATTTTCCACAGGATGTCAGCCATACATACGTTCTCCAAACTATTATTTATGAACCCCAACATCAGTCCCCTGTGATGCTGGGTGACTCACCTAGTTGGCTGGGTGAGTCCTTTTTAGGGGCTGCAAAGGTTCGGGCCTCCTGCATTTTGTACTAGTAAGATTTCCCATTTAAACCTTCAACTTGGCTTTCTTCCTTGATGGTCTGCAATATGTTTATACAGTCAACAAAGATTTCCTACCCCTTGGGATTCTCACAGCTTCTAAAGTGTCTGTCTTGTGGTCAGGCTATAATTCTCAGCTACAGTGACTCCAGCATATGGGTATTTCTGTGGTAAAATGGCAGGAAGATTGTGTTCCCCAGGTAGTGCCAGATTGTTAGAGAAGCAAACAGATGGATTGGTGCCTCTGATGGAGTTATGCCAAACAAGGAAAGCAGGGCATCACTGAGGAAGAACAGAGCATGTCAGTGTTTGTAACAACTAAGAGGATTCCTTTTCCATTTTATTTCTTGGTTTTTATCCATCACCAGCAATTTCTTGGTGCTAAACAGATTTGGGACATATATTGGTTGCATTATTTGCTAGAGTTTTAGACTGCTTTAGACTCAAGTCTCCATTCTTCATCTGTACAATGGATTTTTACATTTTGGGATTATGAAGATGAAGCAGAGTAAAGATGTGCTTACCACAGAGCACAGGCTAATTGTTTTTCATCTTTTCCTTCCACTAATGGAAAATAAAAAGCATTTCTTCTGAAATACAAATGTGGTTATCCTTTCTGCCATCCCTAGGCTTCCTTAAGCCTCTTGGTCATTCAATCCTTAGTGAAAATTTCTGTAATTAAATCAACAGTCGCTGTCATGGAGGCGGGAAATTGGTTTTATTTCCATGCCATTGTCACTGGATGGCATGTTTGTTGTGTGCCTACTCTGTGCTGGTTCCTGGGCACATATTGTACAAGAGACCTATAGGTGGTGCCAGGGGAGGCCCCGCCGAGGAAGAAAGAGGAAAGGTAAAAACAGGCAAGTGAAAGAGGAGGAGGCCAGCCTGGCCAACATGGTGAAACCCCGTCTCTACCTCAAAAATTAGCCAGGCATGGTGGTGTACGCCTGTAATCTCAGCTGCTTGGAAGGCTGAGGCAGGAGAATTGCTTGAACCTGGA